ATCACGAAAAATTCTTACGCTTATTTCTGCATTTCCGGCAGTTTGTTTTTGTGTTTTCTTGCTTCCCACAGCAAAGTATACATTAGGAATCCTCATTCTTTCATGTCTCATCATTCTTTTAATGACTCAAAATTATATGGTCCCCAAAACATCAACTAATAAAATACCTTTTGATGTGAATTTTGTTGTTGTATAAGTGGTTTATAAGTTAGCATGCACATTGCTCTTTTCATCGTCCTTTCGTTTTATGAAATATAAAACCAAAGAAAGCAAGTAAGGATAGTTACTTCTTCCCACACTAAGCTGACAAATCTATGCAAATGAAGAAGTACCACGATGAAAAGCCTTTTTTAAGGGATCTGGAAACCTCACGTATATGGTGAGTTTTTAATCTTCTCTAATAATTTGTTACTAAACAATTATATAATCTCTTAAATTTAATCTCTGTCAATAACATTGGCCTCGATTTTGATAATAAGAAACGGAAGAAGAAGGGAACAACAAATGCATAAAGGAAACCAAAGGATTTAAAGCATGTTGCACAGATTGGTTGGAATGGACCGTTTGATAACGCCACTGCACCTAGCTGGGTACTACTCTACTCTATTCCTGTTCTTATTTTTACAAGTTTTAAATTTTATCATTTCGAATTTAACGTGTTATATTATTATAAAAAAAACTTTTTGGAAAATGACGAGTTCAAATGTTCTCCGAAATCAACTCAAGGATTAAGAAAGACGATGGTGGTCGGTCCAGAAAACACAGCTTCGGAGAAAGGTTCTCCGACCAAAGAAAAATCTGACAAGACCAAACGTCGAAACAAAGGCACTTCATCATATCATCTATGAGAATAAGGACACTACTTCAAGACAGGAAGAAGATTCTTATTTGTCTCAACACAGTGTTGGATTATCATTACCTAAAAGATCCTAGGAAGGTAATGCCAACGTAGAAACTGATATAACATCTGATTAGAGACTTTTGATTTTGTTATACTAGTAAAGAAAACCGCTGAACATAATTTCATTACACCGTAGACTAATAATTTACAACCAAAAACTAAAACTTTACCACTAATCAAAAACGTCAAACGCATCATAAAATGTTAAAACTTTTCCTCTAAATCTTTTCTCTGTTCTTTCTTCTCCGAGTCTCTCTGTTTTCACTGTTTTATCAAAATGTAAAGAACCATAAACACCATTGGGAAGCAAACCAACGCGAAAGCCCTCGACGCCGACGAAGTAAGAACCGCTCCAGCAAGAGGAGGATCTGATTCTTTAACCAAAAGAAGATGCGGATTCCCACCAAGTTTAAGCTTCTTCCCAACTCTATCCCTAAAACTATCGGAAAACGGAGCTTCACCAGTGAGATTATTGTTCTCGAGATTAATCTCCCGAACAGAGTCAAGAAACCCAAACTCCTCAGGTATCTGACCGTCAAGGTTATTATTGTCAAGCGCGAGATACCAAAGGCTCTTGAGACTCGACCCCAATGAAGCTGGAATGTTCCCATGTAGACCCATCCTCGAAAACCCTATTCCCGAAATACCCTCGAGATTCTTCCAAATCTCCGGGATACGCCCTCCGAGATTATTACCACTCAGATAAACCTCTTTTAACCTCGGCATCTCGGATAGAAACAGAGGAACGCCGTAGTTTCCGAAACTGTTGTAACTCAAATCCAAAAACTCGAGCTTTTTCAACTTTCCGACGCCGGAAGGGATCTCACCGGAGAAATTATTGTAGCTTAGGTCTAGCTTGAGAAGCTCTGTTAAATCTCCGATGGACTCAGAGACGTTTCCGGTGAGAGAGTTATGACTAAAGTCTAAGACTTTAAGATTCTTCAGACGAGTCGTCACCGGAAAACCACCGGTTAAGTTGTTTCTAGAGAGAGTCATCTCTTGTAAACTGACTAAACCCGAGATCCGACCCGGTATAGACCCGTGAAACCCGTTTCCGGTGAGAACTAACCTCCTCAGTTTAGTGAAGTTACCGATCAAGACGCCGATTTCGCCGGAAAGAGACGGGTTTTCTATAAAGACGAGCTCTTCGAGAACAGAGCCGAACTCCTCCGGGATATTTTCCGGCAAGGAGGTACGAGCCACGGTGAAGCATTTGTAGAAGAAGAGCTTACGGAGGTGTTTGAAAGAAGAGAAGAGGAGAGGGTCGAGAGTAGCGTTTGAGGAGCAAGGAGGGTTCTGCGTGTAGTCAGAGACGTAACCCAAGTGGAGCTCGGTGACGTGTACAGAGTTCGGTAAGGAAGGGTCTGGGAAGTCGCAAACGACGCCGTCTGGTGGCGACGCGCAGAGGTCGTCTGGGAAGATGGTTCGCCAGGGGATGGATGGGTTGACTGAGTTGAGGATTTGGTAGACGGATTCTTGTTCCGATGGAGGGAGTTCGTTGTTTTCTTCTTGGGAGATGATGGATGGAGCAGTGAAGAGGAAGAGAAGGATGAGGTGGAGAAGATGAGAAGTCGCCATGAGAGGAGAGAAAGAAAGCTTTTTTGGTTTTTTGCAGCTTTTTTTGGTTTGGATTTGGGTTTGTTGCTAACGAGTGATACGTTGCTTTTTATGGGTTCATGCTTCGTATTGTCTGTTTTGGTAAATTGACGTAACTACCCCTATGATATAAACCTTGCGATGGTTATTAAATAAAAGCTGTCACCTTTGATAAGTTTCAATTTCAAGAGAGTCAAGAGTTTTGTTTTTTGTTTAGTCAACGAACTTGAGCATTTAGTTAATTGTATAGGTAATTTTCTGTTTACATTCCTATTAGTTTTAATATTTTGACCTTTTTCTTAAGAGATTTGTGGTTTAGAAAATGGGAAAGGGTGTGATGGTAATTAGAGAGGGGAAAGGTACAAGCTTCACGTTCCGTAGGTAAAAAACGTAAAAAAGTGAAGAGAAAAAAGCATGAGTTGAGGTTGTCGGGACCATACCGGACGAAAACTTCAGAGAGAAGAGAAAGACGACATCGTTTTGATTATTTAAAGGCACAGTCACCATAACCATCCTATCATTTCAAAATGCCTTTTGTTTTCTAAGATCAGTATTTGTTTATCTCTGTGAGGTATATAAATCATATAGTTATCATTTCCATAAAATTTGCATAGTATACATTAAATGTCGCTTCTATTTTTGTGTGTTCTTTTCAATTCCAAATGAAATAATGAAAAATAGATCAAAAGATGCATAAACATTTATCATTTCAATAAAATTTGCATAGTATACATAAAATGTCGCTTCTATTTTTGTGTGTTCTTTTAAATTCCAAAATGAAGTAATGAAAAATACATCAAAAGATGCATAAATATCATTTGCTTAACATTGAAACTTTCTCTTATAAAATAGCAAATGTCTCTATTCCAATAAAATCCAAAATCTAAACTTGTATAAAAAGATTTGAGTTCAAAAAAAAAACTTGTATAAAAAGATTGATAACAACGTTGAAAAAGTCTTTGAAAAGGAAAGACAAAAGCTGAATATAAGTAGCAGAGACAGAGAGGGGTAAACGGCGGAAGAATCGACAAAGACGCGCCTTAGCCGCCGAACTGGAACAGTGTTTATGTATCGTACAAGAAAACGACGGCTAAAGGAATCACACACCCCAGTATAGTGGTGAAACGTGTCAGCCTCTAACCGGAAAGGGCACGGTCTCGCGCATGCCGTTTCTATTTCCGTTTCCTACCTTCCACTGTCCCCACTGTGCCAGAGAGTTTCAGACCGGTCCATTAATTTTTTTTTATTGTCTTTCCTTTATTATTAGCTGTCGCTATTAAATTTTCTTTGTACGACAAAAATGTACCATGCATATTGTAATGTTGTTTTGATTACTTGTTCTTTTCTTTGACAACCAATGATATCAAATTAATTACAAATGATTTGTTAGTCGTTTGGGAATAAGTTGTGAATCAAAATATTTAATGTTGCGTCTTTAATCAATTTTATTCACATATTTAAAAGACAAAGTTATCAAATGTTATATTATATATGTTTGCAAAAAAAGCAAATTCAAATGTTATTATACAAATGAAAAGCAGTATATACAAAATCTGTTAACAAAAGTAACTTCTTTTTTTTTTTTTTGTAAAACAACAAAAGTAAATTATAATTGGTCTTTTTTTTTTGGATCAAAAGTAAATTATAATTGGTCATCTGATCATTATAAAACTACTGTTAGCCCTGGTCCTAACTTTACGATGGACTGTGATTAGTCACGATCCAATGATAAACCTAAAATTTCATATAATGTTTTGGAGAGAGTAGGCCTGGGAGAGAGTGAGAGAGTGTTCAGTGGTTTCATAGCATTTTAACTGCAGAAGGGTATTGTTGGACTTATATTGATAGCCTTAAAATCTTTTATGGGCTTTTAAGTATTTAAGGCCTGACTGTAAATTTGTGCCGGCCTTGTTCGGTAAGAGGGTGCCTTTTTCGCCACACTACTCATTCCTTTTTTTTTTTTTGATCAAACAAAATTAATCACTACTCATTTTTCCCTATTATTCAATGTTTGGGACACAATTAATAAAAAATCATAATGTATGGTATATTTTAGATATAAAACTAGTCACTTATTTAAGAATAGTGTTTAGTCTAAAAATGTTCTAAACAGATAAATGTCCTACATAATTATCTACTTTTCCAAATGTAGATTTTTAAAATATCTTAGTGCTAATAGTAGACCAACAAATCACTTATGATGTGTGTTTATATGGTCCACGATTCATCATTTTTGGTGACCCACAATTAAATACAAAGAAATATGGAAATGAATTCTAATAATTAATGAAAACACAAACAATGGGTCCTGTAAAAGACTTTTTTCCATCAATAAAGATATATAGAAAAAGGAAAAAAAGAAAGAAAGAGGGGTAATAAATGTGTTGAGCAAACACATCTCACATATCTCGTGTTCCAGCCAAACTGTGGAAAATTCCATCTGCTGTTTTTATTCAGTCTGCACTATCTATCCCCCTCTTCACGCCGTCTCAATTTCAATAAAAAAGATATAGATATATAGATTTTTGGGTAATAGTGAAGAAACAACAAACAAAGAGGCAAAAACTCACTCACATCAACGCAGAAAGCGACAAAGGTAAAAGTCGAAGGAGAGAAAGTAAAAGAAGAAGAAGAAAAGATCAGATGTTTTAAAAATAAATTTCTATTTTTGTTTTATCTTTTCTTTTCGATTGCTTCGCTTGACTGTTTCGAATCGGAATAAGTCCGGAGAATTTAGAGGCGGCCATGGCTGTCGTCTTCCTTATTTCCTCGGATTCTTCTTCTTTCCCGGAAAATCAAAGGTCTGCTCTTTTTTCCCCTCTCTCTCTCTCTCTTTCCCCATTTGTTTCTTGATCGTCCTCAATTCGGTATCGCGACTCGATCTAATTTAGGGTTTCATTGTCAATGACTCAATCATTATCTCAAATTTCGTTATAAAGTTTCGAGCTTTTCGATACTGAGTTGAGTTCGAATCCCAAAGTCATCTACTTTTTTTCTTCTTTCCTTGTGAGACTGTCCTTTATCGAAAGTCTCAATCTTTAGGAATTTTGAAAGTCTCAATCTTTTTTTTGGTAACTACTGAATCGTATCGCATTAATGTGAATGTTTCCTATTATGTTCGATCAAACATTGTCGATCTTCTTTTGAATGTACTAATGTGTTGTCTTCTTTAATTATGTGCTTTTGAAGATCATCCAACTTTTTGAGAAGCTATGAGGAACAGCGAGATTAGGCCGCCCGAGAAGTTGCATTCACATAGACTAAGACAACGTTTAAGGAAGATTAGGATGAAGTGTTTGTGTTCTGGTGAACAAATGAGACTTGTTGAAGAAGAAGACAAGCGATCTGAGCTTGGTGTAAGCAATGTAAGCTCAGCTTTGTCAGCTGCTGAGAGCGAGAACTCCAAGAAGCTAGATAATGGCAACATTGAGGAAGCAGAGTTATCTCTGCGTGAGACAAGTTCTTTGAACTACGAGGTTCGGTTTCTTCTTCATCACACCTGAGCTTCTTTGCGTGCACTGAGGAGATAAAACCTGTGTCTCATTGTCTTGTTGTTTTTCAGGAGGCGAGAGCACTTTTGGGAAGAATTGAGTATCAGAAAGGAAACATAGAGGCGGCATTGAGAGTCTTTGAAGGGATTGATATCAGTGGCATCACAATAAAGATGAAAACAGCTTTAACCGCTAGAGAAGAACGGAAACATAGAAGACGGTCTAAAAGCAGCTTTGTTGCTCCTCCTCAGCCTCCTATGTCTAAACACGCTGTTAGTTTACTTTTCGAAGCTATTTTCCTCAAAGCGAAATCTCTCCAGCGTCTTGGGAGGTTCCAAGGTAAAGCCACAATCTTATCTTTGATTCTGTGTCTTTTCTAAGCAGCAACTGTATTCTTCTTGCAGAAGCTGCGCAGTCATGCAGAGTTATTCTTGATATAATCGAGGCTTCTTTATCAGAAGGTGCGTCAGAGAATGTGACTGGTGACATCAAGTTGCAGGAGACATTAACCAAAGCGGTTGAGCTGCTTCCTCAGCTGTGGAAACTTGCTGATTCGCCACGTGATGCTATTTTATCTTATAGAAGAGCGCTTCTCAACCACTGGAAGCTCGATCCGGAAACAACAGCAAGGATACAGAAAGAGTACGCTGTGTTTCTCCTCTATTCCGGTGAAGAAGCCGTGCCTCCTAACCTGCGTTCTCAGACTGAAGGCTCTTTCATTCCTAGGAACAATGTTGAAGAAGCTATTCTTCTTCTCATGTTACTTCTCAGGAAAGCTAACCAGAAAAGAATCTCGTGGGATGCATCAATCTTGGACCATCTCTCCTTCGCTCTTACCATCGCAGGCGACTTAACCGCTCTGGCTAAGCAGCTCGAAGAGCTTAGCCCCGAGATATTGGACCAGAGGGAGCTTTATCATACATTGTCTCTGTGTTACCACGGTGCTGGGGAAGGTCTTGTGGCTCTCGGTTTATTAAGGAAGTTATTTTCAGAAAAGGAGGATCCAAACAGGATATCTGGTTTGCTTATGGCTTCAAAGATATGTGGTGAGAGACCTGGTCTCGCTGAGGAAGGGTTAGACTATGCTCGGAGAGCGATAGGGAACTTGGGGAACGAATGCGTTCAGTTAGATGGTGCAGCGCGTCTAGTTTTAGGCATTGCACTTACTGAAAGCTCGAGGAGAACAGCTACTGAGGCAGAGAGGGTAGCTAGGCAATCTGAGGGGATGCAGGCATTAGCTTCTGCAGATATGACAGACCCGAGAGTCGTGCACCGTCTCGCGTTAGAGAATGCAGAGCAGAGGAAGCTGGATTCCGCATTGGTGTACTCTAAACAGGCGTTAAAGCTTGGAGCAGAGTCGGATCTTGAAATGTGGTTGCTTCTGGCTCGTGTTTTATCTGCTCAAAAGCGGTTTTCAGACGCTGAGACCATAGTGGATGCTGCGCTTAACGAGACAGGGAAATGGGAACAGGGGAAGCTGTTGCGTTTGAAGGCAAAGCTTCGTTTAGCTAAAGGAGAAGTGAAGGATGGGATTAAGAGTTACACAGAACTTCTTGCACTCCTTCAGGTTCAGAGCAAAAGCTTTAGTTCTGTAAAGAAGATGCCAAAGGGATATGTAGAGGAACTGAGGAGTCTGGAGCTTGGGACGTGGCATGATCTGGCTCATATCTATATAGACCTCTCGCAATGGCGTGACGCAGAGACATGTCTCTCGAGATCAAGACTCATTGCCCCTTACTCTCCTGTTCGATACCACACTCAAGGTACTATTTTCTTCATCTTCCAAATGATAAGGCCTTGATGTTAATAGCTTATTAATTACCTGTTGACAGGTGTACTATTCAAGAGACAAGGACAATTAGAAGAAGCGATGGAAGCGTTTACAAATGCTCTAGACATCGATCCAATGCACGTCCCGAGCCTGATATCCAAGGCTGAGATTCTACTGGAGCTTGGGAACCGATCAAGCATAGCAGTTGTAAGAAGCTTTCTAATGGAGGCTCTTAGGATTGATAGGATGAACCAGTCGGCTTGGTACAATCTTGGGAAGATGTTCAAAGCTGAAGGGTCTGTCTCGTCAAAGCAAGAGGCTGTTGAGTGTTTTCAAGCCGCTGTTGCATTGGAGGAAACTATGCCAGTGGAGCCGTTCAGATGATTCTTTTTTTGTTTTTTGTTATGATTTCTCTTTTCCTTTTTTTTTTTTGTTTGTTTTGATATATAGAGATGGATATAAGATATAAAATGTATGTGTGGGTATCTGATTTGATGTGAAGTTTATAAACATTCTGTAACACATAGTTTAAAAGAAACTAAATTGGTTGTGGTCAAGTGTTCTTGTAAGCCAGATATAGTTTACTATTCTAAAAACATGAAGACAGAATCTGTATCTGTAAAACTAATAATGAGTTTAGCATGTAGATTACATTTGAATGATGAAGAAGATTCTCCCAAACAAAGTCTTATTTGTTTTTGGTTTCTTCTTGGGGTATCTGTTGCTTGTCTACACAGCAGAGCTGAGAGTCTTTCATCAGGAAAAATAGTTAAACAGTAGAGAGAGAAGTCTTCAAGTCTCCCACTCTGTTAAACTCTGGAACTCCTAAACGATCCAGTAAAACACCAATTTTCTTGGTAATAGAGAGCTTTCAGTTATCTGTTTTGGGGCGCTTTGGCTGTGGAGAATCTGGCTCTTGGCATTTCCTGGTTTCCTCTGGTGCGAGCTCCTTTGAATCAGTGATTTTCTTGTCTTCTTGTTCGGATTTGGAAGGCGTTTCTGATGTTGAGGCTGTGCCTTTGCCTAGACCAGAGTTTTGTTTCTCGAACATCATTTGCAGGTACTTGCCTTGTTCTTCTATTCGGAGTTGCAGGTTTCTTTGAATCTGCAGTGTAACAGAAAGATAAAAACATTGTGATCCAAACTCATAATCTTTTACACATTTCACCTTTGCACTATTTTCAGCTTCATAAATCCAAAAAATCTCACACAGAAAAAAAATCCAACGCTATTATGATGTATACAAAATATATACCTCGAGCTGCTCATGGAGTTGCTTCTGTACTTCCATCTGATGTCTCAGAGCCTCGGTGATACCCATCCCACTGTAGCATAGATACAAATTTGTTAAAGACTTCAAACAAAGTGAGAATCTGTTAAATAATGGTGTAGCAATTGTGAAGAGCCTTACCCTTTCAAGTCAAGAGATGTTATATGTTCAAGCGGTGTCAACTTCTTCTCAGACGAACCTGTAACACTCAAAATGAAGTAATTTTTTTGAACAGAAGTGCATGGGATTCTCAGGAACAAACATCAAGGAAATGAAGATAGGAAAGACTTACCACTTTCTGATGGTTCTGGCCTATATCTAGCCGTCCTATACTTCTGCAAATGACTTTTGACATGATATATAGTCAAGCCTTCAACTTTCATAATCTTAAGCACACCTTTAGGAGTAGCTCCTGCGTAACAAAGTAACAATATGAGTCTAACCATAAGACAAACAAAGTTTATGGAAAGCATAGAAAAATAAAAGCTCACTTTCACTGCCACCAAGACTGTTGACAGCTTCAACAAAAGCCTCATGAAGCTCTGGGGTCCAACGCATACGTGCCTTGCCTGTTCCGTTATTACTGTTTGAAGATGTTGTGCTCACAGGTCGCAACTCCACAGACACAGAAGGAGAAGGTTGCTGCTGAACAACCTGTGGCTGCGGTGGAACTTGTAGAGTTTTCTGATCCTAAAACACATGAGAATATGGAATCAGAAAGGATAAAGTAAAGACTTGAAATAATAAATTGTAACAAACCTTTGAGTCTGAATTGGAAGTTGTGTCAAGCAGGAGATCATTCCAGTTAGTTGATAGCAAAGGATCTTCATCAGTGATCAAGTGGTCAGCCCATTCATGCCAATCATTTCGTTTCTGAATGTCATCAAACGCCGAACCAATGCCACCGTCCTCAACCTGGCTGGCCTGGTGGTGGTTTTCAGGAAAGTCAAGAAACCCTCCATGCAGTGAATCATCATTGCACCAAGAACTATCATTACTCAACGCTGCAGGGCCATTACTGCTGCTTCCTAAGTAGTGTTTCTCGTGAGACACCATAGATGAGTAATGGAGATTGGTTGAGAAACCAGAGGATGAGGAAGAGCAAATATGTCCAACAGCTCCACCGTTACTGGAAGAAAGCAAATGGTAGGTTTGTTGTTGTTGTCCTAACGGCTTAGACATGAACTGAGTGCTGTTATTGTTGTTCTCTGATCTCATGAAAGCAACTTCTGATGCTGCTGAAGAAGATGAAGAAGGGTTAGGTGTAGAAGGGGTTGAAGAAGTGCGAGCTAAGTTACTTAGCTCCCTAGAACCTGATCTCTGAACCTGACGAGGTTCCATTGTCATAAATGAAGCTCCTAAATATTGTAATTTAATTTGTCAGAATCTGTAAAAGACTTGATTTTGAGAATAAACAAAAACAAATCTAGTAATAATAAAAACAACACAAGCATCAAGAATCATCGACAAAGAGAGCAATAACAACACATTATCCAACCAAACATCAAATTCGGTGAAAAGAAACACTAAACAAACGCCAAATCGAATCAGAATCAACCAATCATAAACCGGTTTTGTCTAGAAAGCAAAGATATATCTGTAATTATGCTCGAAAGATATGAATCGAAAAAATTCTCACCTAGAAGTTCAATGAAAAGGTAGGGAGACGTGCGAATCGAATCTGTAAAACGATTAAACTAATCGGAGAAATCGTCTTGTTGTTGTTGTTGTGTGTAGACGGAGTTTTTTTATTTTTCCGGCTGTTTTGTAATTTCCTCGTCCAAGGATGTGGTGGTGGTGGTGGTGGCTGTCTCTTAAACAAAAGGGGATCAGCCGTCGTCCTTTTACGCGCGGTGTAGTAACGCGTGGGATTACTTGCTTGTCGGAATCCACTAAAATTCTAACGTGGACGCTCTTTATTGGTTAATTGGAAATCATTTTAATTAGGCTTTTGTCTTTTTCGTTTATAAAAAAATAAAGATATGGTTTTCTGATATGGAGTATTATTTTAGGTCCATCACTCCCACTTATAAGGCCATGAAGGCCCAGACTTGTATGTTAAAAGCCCCAACTTTTATGTTAAAACTCAATTCTTGTTTTCTCATTTATTTCGAATTTGAATCCGAATGATCAAGAAATAATAAAATTATCAGAATTTCTAAATTACAAATTTGATTACGAAAGTTGAAAAAAAAAAACAATAATTCAAAAATGAAGTTTCATAAAGAAAAATCAAATTATAAACCAAACAAATAGGTTTGGTGCCTCTACTACTACAAAATATTTTCCTTGTTACATACAAAGGTTACAAAATTAACAAAATTACAAACAATTTATTTTCTGTTGTCAACGGATTACAAACAATTATATTTGCAAATAATTATTCAAAATTTTGCGTAAAAGACAAGAAAGAGAGAAGAATCACATATAATTGTCAAGTCAACACTTGAGCTCTTACTTGAAGATTCAACCCTCCATCTTACTATTCTGTTGTATCCACAACTTAGCGTATCTTCCTGATTTCTCCAACAAATCTTCATGCGTCCCCTTTTCTACCACTTTACCTTTCTCCATCACAATAATCTCATCGCACTGCATAGCAGTGGTCAGCCTATGTGCAATGAAAACACATGTCCTGTTACTAGCCAACGACCTCAGCGTCTTCATGATCTCCGCCTCTGTTTTATTGTCAAGCGCACTCGTTGCTTCATCACACAACAGAATGGCAGGCGATTTCAGAAAGGCGCGAGCTAGTGCCACTCTTTGTTTCTCTCCACCACTCAGCATCAGCCCTCTTTCCCCAACCGCTGTTTTATATTTCTCCGGGAAGTTCATGATCGTGTCGTGAATCGCTGCACGCCTAGCTGCCTCGTAGACTTCTTCCTCTGTTGCTGAGAGGTTTCCATAGTGAATGTTGTGATATATCGTGTCATTGAATAGCACCTGCCATGCCAGTAGTGAACCAAAGTTATATAACCATATTCTAAACATACTAACTATAACCATATGTTAAACATACTAACTAATGGGACAAAGTAAAATAATAAAAAATCATAAATAATTTTAAGGGAATAAGAGACGCAAATTATCACCTATTGGTTTTGAGTTTGAAGTTCATCCAATGATACGGTATTAGAGTCCGATCCTATAATCGATCTAACTCTAAAATTGGTATATCAAATATTCTATGTGGAGAAATGAATTGTTTTGATTTGAAGCCTATTTAACTTAATACTAATTACTGTGTTAACCTGTGAAATGGCAGCTTACAGTATCTTGAGGAACAACTCCAATGCATCTTCGAAGACTATCTAACCTCACTTCCTTTATATCCTGACCATCAATCTTTACATTTCCAGAATCTGTATCAAAGAATCTGAATATCATTCTAAGAATCGTAGACTTCCCGCTTCCACTACTACCAACAATCGCCACACTCTTCCCCGCTGCTACATCAAACGTAACCCCATCTAAGATCTTCCTCTCCGGCAAGTAACTAAAATGCACATCCTCGAACCGAATACTTCCACCTCTCAGATCGAGAACAGGAAGCTTCGCGGCTGTATCTCTATCTCCAATCTCAGATCTCTCCTCAAGCAACTGAAACAACGACTTCATATCCACAAGACTCTGAACCGTCTCACGGTAAACACCACCAAGAAAGTACAAAGGAAGAGAGAGCTGAAAGAGAAGACCATTCACCATAACCAAATCACCAACCGTCATCTGACCATTCACAATCCCTTGAGAACACAACACCATCGCTGTCGACAACGCTGTACTGAAAATCAAACTCTGTCCGAAATCCAAAAACGCGAGACTTTTCTGAGTCGTAGACGCAGCATCCTCGTACTTTCCAAGCAACTCATCGTACTTTCTAGCTTCGTAACTCTCGTTGTTGAAATACTTAACCGTCTCGTAGTTTATCAAAGAATCAACGGCTCTAGTGCCAGCGTCGTTATCAGCTTCGTTCATAGCTTTTCTAAACTTGGTTCTGTACTGTGTCACGACCAACGTGAAAGCTATGTACGAACCAACGGAGAGACAAGTGATGAAGCCAAAAACAGGACCGTAGTTATAAGCTAAAATGCCCGAGACCATACCTATCTCCAGGATTGTCGGAACGACGTTGAAAACCATAGCTGAGAGAATGGTGTTGATCGCGCGGCTACCACGGTCGATGACTCTGTTCAAAGCCCCTGTTTCACGGTTCAGATGGTAACGGAGGTCGAGATCGTGGAGATGAGAGAGGACTTTTCTGGAGAGGGAACGTATGGTGCGGAGAGATACTTTGGAGAAGATGGCTGTGCGGAGTTCGTTGAAAGCGGAAGAGGTAGATCGAGCGATGCCGTAGCCGATGAGAATTGAGGAAGGTGTAGCGAAAGCTGCGAGGAGGTAAGGGTTTGAAGTAGCGATGGTTGATGATGAAGAGTGTGAGGAGAGTGAGTCGATGGCTAGTTTGAAGAGGAAAGGAACTTGAACGTTGAGGAACTTTGCTCCGATGAGACAGGCTAATGCTGAGATGACTCTGAAACGGAGTTCTGGGTTGTCTTTCATCCATAAGTAGCTGGAGATCGTGCGGAGGATCTTGTGAGACGACGTCGTGTTGGTTTGGTTGTTGGATTTAGAGTGATCTGGATTTGGAGTTGGAGTTGGAGTTGAAGTTGAGAAGAAGAGGACACGCGCGTTGACTCTGGAACTAAGTGGTGATGGAGATGGAGATGGATCTGATAAGAAGGCATTGATACTGATTGATGTTCGAGTTGAGTTACGTTTTATGAAAGTGGAGAAACTGTGATGATGACGATAACAAAGTGAAGCGCGAGAGAGGAGAAGCCGACAGCTCCTCGACATCACTTCTTGTCGGAATGTCCGAACGGATCACATAGAGTTCTGGTATCTTTGTATTCTTACACGATCTCTCTTGCAGGATCCATACCAGAGTAGTTGAAGAAGAAGATGAAGATATTAACTAACTCGGAAATAACCGGTTCTGGTTTATATCCGGTTTTTTATTTAGATATGAAATTAGGATGGTTTCTTTACGAGACCTATCTCGGAGATAACCGGAGTTGGTTTGTCACGTGTCGTTTAAAAAGGGGAATCGGATACTTACGGTGGGTCACAGCGAAGGGAATCATATTCAGAAGAGTGGAACCCGCAAGGACAACTAACACTACCAAAAATTCAACCCTTTCGGATTGCGATTAATTAAATTGAACGGTTTATTTGGAAAGTAAAGAAGCAAGAGTCGGTTATGTCTTCCCTCCAGACGACAAGGGTTTTTATTCGGACACCACTAAAAATGGACAGCTAAACTCTCTCTTTTAATTATTTTAATTACGTGATTATAGATTAGATTGCCACTTGATTATATAATTAAATAAATTTCTATTTAGTGATGTTATCTAACTTTAAACCGGAACTCGTTGCTACCGTCCGATTTGGTGAGATGGACCAGAGTACGTGGGCACGAGTTCCCTCTCTGTTTACTTGGGTCCCGCGAAGCCATCTAAGTATCTTTTTCTAGCCGTCCGATTAAATCCCATGAAGCTGACATGTGAGCCCCTACTTTTTTTTCTTATTTTACTGTAGTTTTCGAGTTTTGTGGATAGGCAAAAAAACATTTTGGAACTTTGATTTATTCTTTTAAAATTTGCTTTTGTTAATCCCACGGATGCAAGTATGCAACCGTTCTGATATCACTATTATTTCCATGAAATCTATATCGGATTGTGGAGTCGATACCAACTAATAACATCTAAACATATTGGGTGATTACATTGTTGCCTCTCTTGTTCTTATTGCATATTAATTTCAAGCTCTCTCTTGTTAGAAGTTTGGAGTTAATTCTTGTGTATCCTAGGCTTTTTAATTTTTTTTGCGGTCACTAGGATCAAATCAGCTGTTAGCAGATTATGGTTTCAATTAATTTTGTAACCAAACTTTCATTTTCATTAATGATATTTACAATTTAGCAAAAAAAAAATAACATCTAAACATAACACCATATTGGATTATTCATAACATTTTCCACTATTTTTATAATAACTACTTGCAAAATCATCAAGTTATTTCTATTGCATCGAATAATTCGCTCATTTATTATTCTTGTAATGTAATTGTGTTTGTATTTTGCGGTTATGATAATAAATTATTAGATTATGTTAGGCAGTTGAACCACACTTTGTAACTTAAAAGTATGCTTTCTGCATAATTGCAAAGCAACGCTATACAAGTTTAAATATTTTCACGGAATAAATGTGACAAAATTTAGAAAAAATTACACTTTCACATACTTTTAACTTGTCTATTTACACATATACATACTTTTAGCATGTGGAGTACTTTCTGCTTGTAAATTGTCTAAAAACGCCTTATAATTAAACAAACTAAAAATATGTGGTCTGGTTGCGTTTAATCCCCTCTCCTATTCTGTCACTATCATCTTCTCTCTCTCTCTTTTCTTCTGCATCTGAAAATCAATTCTTTCATGGCTATTGATTATGAGTTTTACATATTATTGATTAATTCTCTCTTTCTTTCTCTATTTATCTTATCTTTTATTTTGTTGAAATTGTAGTTTATTTTTATAAAAAACTTCAACTTTCAAGTTCCACAATTTTGAATTTTCGGATCTCGATTATCTCTGCTTTTTTCATATCATGCTTGACTGATTCGCTTACGATCTGGTCATTCCCAGTGTCGTTAAAGCTCCAATCCTCTCGAGTCGTTCACTGGTAACCCATCGCTCGAAGTTCTCATACGAATCGTCGCATTGCTTCGACAAAAAAAATGAAAGGTTTAATCTTTCTTCACCAAATCTCTCTTTCTATATTGCAAACCCTGAATCTTTTTATTTATGATTCTATCTTTCTGGTTGACTAGATACGTGCGGTTTCCTGATCTGGTTCACACAAACCTAAATCCTAATCTTATTTCTCCATCTCATGACCTTGACCACACAATCTCTGACCATGACCATACGAACTCTAACCATGATCACACGCTGACCTTGAACACATGCATAATCCCTGCCTGGCCACATGTTCCTAAGCACAAAACCCACATATGTTACACTCCTGCCCCGACCACACTAAGATTAGGTTGTAGATGATCATGCTAAATTGTGTGTTTTAGATGACCACGCTAAAATTTGCCACATGACCACACATATCTGACCACAAAACCCAACCCTCAAATCGAAGTCATTCACCATCAATCCAAAGGTGCTTGTTAAATCTCAAACATCCGTAAATCTATACAATATTAATTACAAACAAGAAGTGTAACTAATCATTTAAACCCAATCAAGCTAGACCTCTATTTAGTCACACTTTTAATTTTTAGGGGTATTTTCGTCATGAAAAAGTTATACTTCATGCCTAAAGTACACCTCATGCATAAAGTACCTAATATTGTAAGGGAGCAACCCCAAAGTATGTCTATATGTAATGTTCTCCAAAATTTATCACAGTTTTGTTTCTGCCAACATTTATTTTCCTTATTTTCAAATGTTTTTTTATGATTTTGCCTAAAATTTGATATATTTAGGCGAAAAAGAAGACCAAAGTTAGGGAAGTAAAAAAAAGAAAGAAAAGAGACAAATCCCACCAGTCGTGTCTTCTTGTTCATCCTCTGTTTCCTTCTCACTGTTCTTTACCTTACTTAAAGTCGCAAACTTTGCTTCAAATTCAACCCATCTCTCATCTTCCCCTTCGCAACCAAATCTCCAACCAAATCAATCTCTCTGGCCTAATGGAAGGCGGTTCCGGTATTGGCTCGGCTTCGACTTTGTTAAACGATGAAAACCTCGTCGTTTCTTCAGAGGATTCTTCTTCTCCGACAGAGAACGGTCTGGAGCTTCGTCTTACGTTGAGCCTAGGTCGAAAAGGGTATCGAGATTATAGGGCTTCTCACGCTGATGATTCTTCTTCTTCTTCATCGTCATCACCTTCTTCCTTGAGCAGAGCTAGCGTCACTGCTGGGATCAAGAGAACAGCTGATTCCATGGCACCTACTAGTGGGTGAGATTCTCCTCCTTTAATTCTAGGAAAAAGCCTTTACATTTGATCATAGTTGATTCTTGCTTTTTATGGGTTTTGATGAGACAGAATGTTCCTTTGATCATTGTTATCTAGAAAAAAATTAAACCTTCATTACATATATGACTTATGAATGTATATTCTTGGCCTTAGAGAATTTGTTGTTGCTGGGATTCTATAGTACTTGCTTTGGAGGTAAGTGAATTGGAAGGGAGTGGTTGATTCTGTAGAGTGATGTTTCTTGCTATTGATTTTTGTGTAAACTTGTCTCGATCTGTGCTTGTTTCACGTGTATGATTTTGCAGGCTTTGAAGTGTTATATCAGTTATTTTTTGTCTTTTACTCTGTTTTGAGCTTTTTGAGAAACTTTTGAAATTTGCAGGCAAGTTGTGGGGTGGCCACCAATAAGGACGTACAGGATGAACAGTATGGTTAACCAAGCCAAGACATTGGCTATGGAAGATCCACAACAAGTAAACAAGATTACAAGTGATGCAACAAAGATGAGAAGTTCGATGTTTGTGAAGGTGACTATGGATGGTATTCTCATTGGAAGGAAAATCGATCTGAACGCTCATAATTGCTATGAATCCTTGACCAACACTCTCGAAGATATGTTTCTCAAACCCAACACAGGTGAACTTCGTAGTCTGTTCTTTAAAGTTCCTTTAGATATTTGTGTTGGTCTTGGATTGAGATGATGATTCTTTGTGCGATCAGGTTCAAGCACACAAGAAACAGATGGTCATATGGAAACAAAGGCCAAGATACTACCAGATGGGTCTTCTGGATTAGTACTAACGTATGAAGACAAGGAAGGAGATTGGATGCTTGTTGGTGATGTTCCGTGGAGGTATCAATATAATGATATTCCCATGCTTTTAATGTTGAGTACAATGTTAGCTCCAAATTTGAATCCTTAAATGAGTTTTACTTGTGAACAGAATGTTTATTGGTTCTGTGAAAAGGCTCCGAATCATGAAAACATCAGAGGCTACTGGCGCAGGTACATTTACTGATTCCATCAACTCCCTATTTGATCTTTTCTTTTATGTCGTTGTGACCCTTTTTGTATAATCCTTGTTTGCAGCTAAAATGAACTTATAAAGCATATAAAATAAAACTATGTTTGAAGCAATAATAAGACAGATCAAAGAGAAGACAACAACAATGTAAGAAATATTCTTCTTTTTCCCTCCACAGTTTTTTCTGGCTCTGCCATTTATTTAGTTAGCTATATTGTTCAACTTTGTAAATCACATAACGTTTAAGAGCAATGCACAAGTAACAAGTTAAATAAACATCTGTAAAGAGAGCAAAGTTATTCTACACGTATTAAAATATCTCTCTCTCACTCTCTCTTCTACATACATATCAGTTTATAAGCCACCTTCTTCGTCTCCTCTTCCATCAACGTCCTAAAGAAGGTCATTTACAGGTGAAGCACCAAACACCGATGGCTGTTGTTTCTCAGCCACGCTACAACGGCTAGTGTTTTCCTCATTACTATTACTTTTCCTCCTCGGTTTAGCTTCTCCAAGCATTGATATCACATCTCTCATAGAAGGTCTATCTTTAGGGAGCTTCGTGGTGCAGAGAAGAGCTATCTGTAAAACTAAAAGCATCTCTTCTTGAACATATCTGCAGTTTCCAACGTTAGGATCCAACGCTTCTTCCAAAGATACGTTGTTTCTTATCTTCTGCCTCACCCACTCCACAATATCTACAGACTCTCCAAACTCCGGGTCTAACGGTCTCCTTCCGGTTAACAGCTCCAGCAATACGACGCCGTAACTGTATATGTCTATCTTCTCGTCCACCTGTAGCGTGTATCCATACTCTGCAAAACAATAAACCAAATTAAAATTGAATAAATTAGATCGGACCGGTTTATAACCGAAATTAAAAATTAAATCGTACCGGGAGCGATGTAACCGTAAGAACCGGCGACCATCGAAACGGTTTCTTTCTTCCTCGCCATCATCCTCGCGAGCCCGAAGTCGGCGATTCTAGCGTCGAGATTCGCATCTAACAAGATATTATTCGATTTGATATCTCTATGGATCACCGGAGGATGACAATCATGATGGAGGTAAGCGAGTCCATGAGCTACACCAACCGCGATATTATAACGCGACACCCAATCAACGAGCAACCTCCCGGCGGCGTTTTTCCCGTGAATCGCGTCGCCGAGGTTACCGTTGAGCATGAATTCGTAAACGATTATCATGTTTTTGTCGTTGTACAAGAATCCAAGGAGCCTCACGATGTTCCTGTGGCGTAACTTCCCTAAGAGGTTCACTTCTCCGACGAAATCGCCCGTGGTTCCGTCCTCGATATCCGCGGCGGATCTCCAGAGCTTCTTGACGGCGAGTACGGTGGTGGATCGTGACATCTCGGCTTTGTAGACGATTCCGGTCGCTCCCATCCCGATCATGTTCGATTCCTTGACGCAGGCGAGGATATCGGAGGCTGTGAACCCTAGGCGATGAAACGCCATTAGTCTCCACGGCCATTCGCCTTTGCTCTCCGTCTCGTTGTTGAAGAATCCGTTGGAGTATAATCTCTTGTAGAGAGATCGAGTAACGATGAGGAGGATCCCTAGGAGAAGAGCGGTTGCGATCCCGATCAACCATCCGATTACGATTCGCTTCCCGTGGAGACTCTTGTGACGTGTTGGTCCGTTTTCGGAGTTGCTACACGGCGGGAGAACGCCTCCGCATAGACCTGAGTTTCCTCTTAGATCGTCTGGATTTATGGTTCTGAGGAAGCCGTTGATAGGGACTGGGCCTGTGAGTTTGTTGTAGGAGACGTTGAGGAGTTCAAGAGCTGGAGATGTGCCAATGCTTTCCGGGAGTTTACCGGTTAAGGAGTTGTTGGAGATGTCAAGAACGGCTAATGCTGACATTGTTGTGACCTGTCTAGGGATTTCTCCCGTGAGTTTGTTGTTTCTTAGGTTGATTGTTACTAGCTTCTCGCAGGAAGCAATGCTGGAGGGGATAGTGCCTGAGAGAGTGTTGGAAGAGAGGTCGAGGCTTGAGAGTGAAGGACAATCTTGAAACTGGTCTGGAACTTCGCCGGAGAGGAAATTATCGGCGATTAAGAACTTCTGGAGGTTATGGATGGAGAGGATGGTGGAAGGGAGGGAGGAGGTGAGCTTGTTTCTGGAGAAGTCGATGAAAGAAAGGGAAAGTGAGTCTGATATGTCTCCGGGAACGCCTCCGGTGAGACGATTGTTGGCTAGTTCGAGCCATTGTAGCTTCTCAAGGTTGCCGAAGCCAATGGGGATGGAACCGTTGAGGAGATTGTTCTGCATTCTGACACGGACTAGAGACTGACAAGTGGATAGAGTTGTCGGAATTGGACCGGAGAAGTTGTTGTTGAATAGAATGAGCTTGGTTAGATTCCCTTTGGTGCACAATGTGGAAGGTATCTCGCCGGTGAAGGAGTTTGTAGAGACGTCAAACCAGTATAATGGAGAATTTTTCCCGAGATCGCTTGGTAGCTCGCCGGAGAGCGTGTTGTTCCATAGCTCGAGGGTGTGTAGCTCCGCCAGATTGCTGATCTCCGGAGGAACGGTGCCAGAGAGTGTGTTGCCCATCAGGTTTAGTAGTTGAAGGTTCTTCAGCTCTGATATTTCTACTGGAATCTCGCCGGATAACGCGTTCTGGGAGAGATCAAGAAACTTGAGAGCGGTAATGTTACCGATCTCTGGCGGTATTTTACCGGTTAATTTGTTTTGGTACACGTAAAGCGTCTCTAGTGACTTGAGCTTCCCGAGCTCAGACGGAATCTGACCACTGAGCTTTCCCATGGCCAAATCAAGGTACTTGAGGCTGTTGATGTTCCCAAACTCCGGTGGAATCGGACCTTCAAACTCGTTGGAACCGAGAATGGCTGTTTCAAGTGAAGGAATCTCACCTAGAATTCTAGGTAACTCACCGGTAAAGTTGTTTCCGGATAATCCGAAAAATCTCAGCTTCTGAAGATTCTTGAATGAACGTGGAAATGACCCTTGGAAGTAATTCCCACGGAGATCAAGAACTTCTAAAGAGACCAAGTTCCCGAGATCTTCAGTTAGATTTCCAAAGAGATTGTTCCCTGAAACATTGAGATGAACGAGTCCACTTGATTCGTTGCCAAACACGAAAAGGTTCCCGGTGAATTGATTCTGGCTGATGTCTACAGATTTCAACGGAGGGAGCGATCTCGGAAGCAGAGACTCGAATCCGTTGCATGAGATGTTGAACGAGACAAGGCTTGATAGCTGTTTGATGGAATCAGAGATTTTACCCGTGAGATTCATTCCCGACAGGTCAAGCTTCTCAACATTGCCATGGGAGTTGCACTGAACACCGGTCCAGCTACAATGGTCGCCGGTTCCTGAGAGCTTCCAGTCTTTGAGAAAGTTGAGGGGATCAACGAGAGTTGATTTAACCGAGAGCAAAACAGAGACCTCATTGCCATTGTCGATGGAAGCTGAAACAGAGGAGGTAGAACCGATGTAAAAGTAGTAGAGGAAGAGAACGATAACCTTCATCTTCATCTTCTTCCTCTGTCTGACTGAAACTCGTCTCCTTAGTTCATTACCAAGAACAAGACAAAGTGAACATGCAAGGAAGTGGAGGAGGAAGAAGAGTAGAATAAGAAGAAACTCCGCAAGTAGCTGCTTGGTCTTTATATATATAATCTATATCTGTCATATATATATGTATAAAATGAATCTTGGTTTTATGTGGATCTAGTGATAAAGAGTATGTATGATTAAATGTTCTAATGAAAAATAAAAACAAGATCTTGGAGTTATTTGTGAAGTTTCATAAGACACTGAACATGTGAAAGAGAGAATGTGTTTTTACAACTCCAACTAATCCAAAAATGTTTACGGTCATTTAAATAAAAAAAAACAAAGTCAACTATGATTTGCTGTATTATTAAGTTGTGAATGTGCCAATTAGCTTAGGATTAATACGTATATATGCATACAATTATACAGTCACTTGGTGTGTACCATACTCTCATCGATGGCTTGTGCTTAACTTCATTCCGTCTCAGCTTTTGTAGAATGTCTTTTATTTATTTTCTCGCCTTTTTCTCTTTTGGGTCTTTTCATGCTTACCTTCTAAGAAAGTTTTAAATCGAAAATTCTGCCTCAGTATGGCAAATATCATATGATATATTTCCACCATAGACTAAGCCATATTTATATATTTTATATTGTACATTTGTATGTAGCCATCGAGGTGAACGTTCTAACCATCAGAATGGCTGGTTGTGTGGTACACATGTGATGAAGATGAATTAGATGATGACGCTACCTCACTCTACTAAATATTTAATTTCAGATAGTTCCAAACCGTTACATTGGATAATTAAGTATCAACAATAATGAAGATGCACTCATGTTTCTTCTCACCCCGCCCTTTTGAATTTGGTAAAGTTTCTCTCTTCTACGTGTTAGTTAATAGAAATTAAGTCGAACCCAACACCCACCTCATCGCCATTATATGAAAATATATTTTTTATTTTAAAAAAAAATCAGTCAAGAGTTACCATGATGAATATAATATTCATAATGTATGCCACTGCAGAGAGTACAGGCTTGTTACTGTTCCTTCATCTGCATGATTGAGTAGATAAGAATCTTTCCATGTTACAGGTTTTAATAAATATGACAGTGTAAATATATGTATATAATAATGTTTTCAAATATTAACTAATAACCGGATATCCATGAAATCAAATATTGTAATACTCCAACAATTACCCACTCCTCTTACTGGTTTCATGTTTATACAGAAAACGTTGCTTCACATGCACTCATGTGGGCCGGTCTTATATATGTTTGTTGTTTCGTTTCTTATTATTTGTAGTTTTTAAGAAAACATTCCGATCCCTAGTTAAATTCTTCATTTGCTATAATCCTTTCGCTCGTTGGGTAAAATACTTAAATTCTACGAGTATTACACATTCAATTTTGAATATTTAGTCCGATATAGCTATAGCTAGAATTAGTAGGAAAATATTAAAAAAACTTGTCTACACAAAAATAATTGAAATAAATAAATCATATCACCCAAAACTCCAAAAGCACACATATTGGATGGTTCTGGCTCTAGATCGTAAATATAAATAAATACTTACAAGAGGAGGGTTCACGGCTTAATGGGATACATGTGGATCAACACCTTGGTCACTTACTTTAGTATCAAATTAGTATTATTAGAGAGAGAAACCTAATCCCACAACACAAAGCACATAAAACTCCTTGCAAATGGTGTTTTGTGATTTATTTAAATGCCTAATTAAACATTTAAATATCAATAACATACTATATAAAATAATCAATTTAGCAAATATGCTGACGGTTTTCTCACATGGCCATCGGATTCGTCAGACTTGTGTCCAGCTTTTTTCCTAACGATCTGCACGCATGTGCCGCTGCCACGTGTGTTCCATGGGATCACTCTAGATAAAGAAAATCAAGTCAGCGTAAAACCTCTGAGAGAGCAAGAGACTCACCAAAACCCCAAAAAATGGGCTTATTATGTGACGAAACGAATTATAAGTCAATTAACTGTTCCTAATGTTAATAAAAGGCTTTTAACTAATATTGGGCTTAATGTTTAAAGCCCATAGAGACGATGGCGATATCCAATGAAGGAACGGCTTTGGTGGTGACACGTCATGATTCTCCCGCCAACCACACCAGATCCTTTTGCTTCATCTCCTGCCTTCCGCCTCGACTCTTCCGTTTGTCTAATTTCATCGATAAGGACGAGAATGGCCTGTTTTCGTTCGATAGGGTCTTTAACTTCTCTCACTAACTCTCCTCGTGATGCTTCACGCTCCTCAGGTACTGTATTCTTCTTCCTTCGTATCTTTTCGTGTTAGAATCGATAGGTGGAATCTTCATGTTTGCATGTAGGTTTGATTATTGATTTCCCTAAACAATCTTCGGTATAATGCTAAATCAATTACAGGAGATTAGGTTCATACCTTGATAATTTTTGGAGATTAGGGTTCATGTCTGAGAAAAACAACCCATTTTTATAGAAGGAACACATCTGATTATTACATTAATCCGTATTTACTAAAATTTGGAAGTATGTAAACTGTAATTAAGAAGCACAGATTTGATTTTTTTTTTTTTAATTGCAGGCATTGTGTTATCTTCATGCTCTGTTCTCCCCATCACGCGCTCCACCTTCACAGGCTCTCCCATCACCCTCCCGCGAGTCCATCCACCAACTCAAACAACTCCAAGAAGACCACGAAACCTCCTCCCAATCACAATGATGGTGAAACCAGCTCTCCAATTCATCCAAGGGACAGACGAGATGACGATCCCTGACGTCAAGCTGACTCGTTCAAGAGACGGAACTAACGGAATGGCACTCTTCTCCTTCGATCAGCCATCGGTTTTTGACTCTAGCGGTGAGGTGGGAGAGATAACAGGATTGTACATGATCGACGAGGAAGGTGTGATTCAGTCAACGGACGTCAACGCAAGATTCGTTAACGGGAAACCTGAAGGTATTGTAGCTAAGCACGTGATGCGCACGCCTAAGGAATGGGACAGGTTCATGAGGTTTATGGAACGGTACTCTGACCAGAACGGTTTACAGTTCGTTAAAAAGCAATGAGGTGGTGTCATTGTCCTATGAACAAAATTTGTATGTTACACACTTTTAACTCTTGGTTTATAATCATTCATTAGAGCTTGATTACACTATAATATCTAAAACCTAATTATTTAAAACCGAAACGGTTTTAATAGGCCTGGGATACCTCAGGTTAATCAGTTAAAAAACTGTTATAATATACGCTCTATATATAGAAAAGAGCTGTTAGAGATTAGTTTTATTATGGAAGAGGGGGAGAGAAGGAGACACATCAAAGCATGCATCGTTAATTTTCTCTAATGGCATTGTCTTTAATCGCTGTTTTCTTGACGTTAACGTTTCTAACTCCGTCAACTTCCACGACCACCTCTAGACTCGACGTCCTAGGCTGGTTTTGCAATAACGGCACCGTCTCAGACCTAGAGGCTTACCGGAGATCTTACCAGATCAATCTCGACAATACCAGAGATGACATGAGGAAGTACAAGTTTGGGACACACGAACATGGAGATCCTCCACAGAAGATGTACTTTCTGTCGCAATGCGTTAGCGATCTCTCACCTGAAGAATGTGATTTATGTTGGTCAAGCGCCACCGATCTCCTCTTTAACTGTTTTCCTTCCCCCGGTGGTCGGTTTTATCTTGACGGTTGTTTCGTTAGGGCTGATAATTACAGCTTTTATCGTGAGCCTGTTACACATCAAGACACCAAGGTTCTTGTTCTCTCTCTCTTTTTTTTTTTAAATGTCTAAGGTCTATGCATGACCGGTTCTTTTCGGTCCGGTCTATTCGGGTCGTTTTTTAGGTAAAGAAATTTTAGATCCAATAAATACTTATTAATTTTTAGTTTGGTTTTGGATCGGGTATTTTCGGTTCGATTGGGTCCTGATAAAATCTCCAGGCCTAGCCTAGTCCTGCATTAGAACGAGACTTAAACTATTTTAAATTAATTCTACTTAAAAGAGAATCCAAGAGATTTATCGATTAGGTCAACTCCTCGTTATTTCTTGTTCTTGTTCTTTTACTTGGTTAATACGTTACCTAGAATTATAATTTCGTGGAAAATGAACCTAATGTATAGACCATTTTGGGGACTTTAGATATGTGGTGGTGACCAGGACTTGTCTCCAGGATTCAAAGGCTTAGTAAAGGAAGTGACCAAGTCCATTGTTGAAACGGCTCCATATAGCCAAGGCTTCTCAGTGGCTCGAAAGGGAGCTGTTTACGCATTAGGAATATGCCGGCCAACGCTAGACGATGAGTTGTGCAAATTGTGCTTAGCAGATGGAGCGTTATCAGTAAATAGCTGCTCACCTGATAAAGAAGGATTTGCCTTGAATGCAGGCTGTTACTTTCGTTACTCTAACTACACCTTCTATAACGAACGTGCATTGCTTTCTATGAGTATGTCTTTATGTGTCTCCTAACTCTTGTTGTTTTTAAAAATTGTGAACAGTTTTTATAACCACAACATTATTTTTTTTGGGTAGGTTTAATGAAAGAACATATTCTGTATGTACTGGTGATTTCTATGGTGTGTGTGTTAGCTATTGCTTCTGGTTTTTGGTGTGGGAAATGCATCTATTTGGGAGCTAGTCCAAAGAAGAGGCTTAAAGGTAAGAGATTCTTGTTTTGGAATTAAAGAATATAGGTTGTTAGCTGATAAGAACGAAGACTAAAAAAGTTTTCACTTGTTTGTACATCTAAGGATAGAGAAGGAGTCAAAGTCTGTATCTAATAACTCAAACTTGATGTGCTTTAAGTATTCAACTCTTGAGAAAGCAACCAACAACTTCAATGAGAGTTGCAAGCTTGGTGTTGGAGGTTATGGTGAAGTCTTTAAGGTTGTTGTCTCTCTCTCTATATATATATCCTTCTCTACATTTTACCATCGTCTCTAAAGAAGACTTTATGTCTTTTTGTGACAGGGAACTCTGTCTGATGGTAGAGAGATCGCTATAAAACGTTTGCATATAACAGGAAAGAAGCCACGGGAAGATATTCATAATGAAATAGATGTGATTAGCAGATGTCAACACAAGCACTTGGTCAGGCTTATAGGTTGCTGTTTCACTAACATGAATAGTTTCATTATCTATGAGTTCCTCGCGAACTCAAGCCTCGACCACATTTTGTTTGGTAAGATCCCTTCCTAGAATCACACATGCTTTGATCGTCTTGCTTGGTTGCAAAAAATGTAATATTATTGTTTTGACATGGAAGTGAAGACCCGGAGAAGAAGAAAGAGCTGGGGTGGAAGAAGAGACGGGCTATAATCTTGGGAACAGCAGAAGGTTTGGAGTATCTTCATGAAGCTTGTAAGATCATTCATAGAGATATCAAAGCAAGCAACATACTTTTAGACTTAAAGTACAAACCCAAGATCTCAGATTTTGGATTGGCTAAGTTCTATCCAGAAGGTGGGAAAGACATCCCTTCTTCCTCTCCCTCTCCTTCCATTGCTGGCACACTGTAAGTCACTTCAAACACAAAGAAGTTCATAGAGGTTTGGTTTTAACGATTTGAAAATAAAATGGGAATGTTTTACAGAGGATACATGGCTCCTGAGTACATTAGTAAGGGAATACTAAGCAACAAAATCGACGCTTATAGCTTTGGAGTCCTTGTTCTTGAAATAACCAGCGGTTTTAGAAACAATATGTTCCGGTCTGATAACTCCCTTGAAACATTAGTTACTCAAGTGAGTCTCTTCATTCTTTCACATTAATCTTTAACTCTAATAACCATTTCTCAAACACCTTTTGTTGGTGAACAGGTTTGGAAATGTTTTGCTTCAGACAAGATGGAAGAGATGATAGACAAAGAGATGGAAGAAGAGACAGATAAGACAGAAGTGAAGAGAGTGATGCAGATCGGTTTGTTGTGCACACAAGAGTCTCCACAGCTTCGTCCAACGATGTCTAAGGTGATAGAAATGATTAATTCTACGGATCTTGTGTTGCCCACTCCTACTAAACCACCTTTCCTTCATGATTCCATGTAGAAAATCATATTCATACTTTTGTATAAACCCTCACTCTTCTTACTGTTCATAACAACACACTACAAAAAAAAGTGTTGTCATATTATGTTATTGTGTTATCCAAACTTTGTCTCAGTAGCCCATCCCAGCCCAGACCCGGCCCAGTTTTGATTTAAACATAAACAATACACTCAGAAGGAAATAGGTGAGTAAAAAACCATCACAACCAACTGCATCATCAGTTGAGATTATATATATAACTATTATAAATACAGTTAGTTCCTTTTGTAGAAATATTAATTAAGATATAACTGTAAATCACCTAGGATATCCATGTATATTTATAGTGTGGTAATATTAAATTATATTGTGCTGGATTAGAAAAAATAAACAAAATCATATCGTTGGTAGTTTTGTGGTTTGACAGTCTGTTAAAGCATCATGATTGGTGGTTTTTAGCAGATTTTTTGTTAACTAAAAAAAGAAATAAAATAGCACAGTATTTTTTTTTATATAATAGAGAATATGGTGATGAAAATTGTAGTCTCTCGAATACATATGAGAAATTCTCAATCATTTGTGAAATCTCACATAACATATATCAACTTCTTAATATTGTTTATAATTAGTTTGTAATAGTAAAATATATTAGTGAGAAATGCCAATGTTTGACGTGTTTCCTTCGCTGCCTCACGAAATGCTAATGCTTTACGTGTTTCCTCGCTGTCTGAAGCCGCGTCATTTACCATGATACGCTAGCCATGGAGAGTTAATAAATTTACGTATGATAAAAATAATTATTAATTTATTAGGACATTTTAACCCAAAACATCAAGCATGGCAGTAACATTTAAATACTATATACGGTGTTTTGTGTTTGTTTTTAAAAATTTAAACAAACATATGCGAGCTAGCGATCGTTACACAGCATATGACATATAGATGCAGTTCATGGACACATGACTGAAGTCAAGTTTGTAGATAAGCGCAGCCTAGCATATTCAGAAAGATTTTAAAAATCATAAAAATAATCTTAGTTTGTTTTAAACTGCAAATGAGGTTCCAGAAGTGTTAGGTAAATCATTCATTGTAAAGTTACAAAAAATAACAAAAATAATTCACTGTAGAGGATAGTCGTGAATCACAATGGATATGCTGCAGGATCTTATATACTAAATCAGGTTGTTCACATTTTGTTTGGACAGCTTTATTCAAGATGTTGGTCCAAAAAAAGGTGTCGGTACCAAACAGAATAAAATAATTTTATTTAAAAGGAAAATTGTTTACCACATTCTCAATTTGGGGTGGCCCCTGTAACCAAAACGAAATTGTTTGTCTTTTTATAACAAAAAAATACATTAAGGGCATCGTTAAATTCCAAAAACAGAGATGAAGGTTAAAGCCAAAAGCCTGTGATGACGTGGGGGAAACGATAGAGAGATGAAAGGAGGGTTTAGTGGAAGATGCAGCGATTGATATCACTTATTTAATGCTTTTGATCACGTTTTTATTTTTGTATAATGTCTTTATTGCTAGACTCCCCCCACTACGAGTGGTGTATGGCCATAGACCTTCTATCCTTTTAAAATCTGTCGTTCAGACAAAAAATGTTAATTGTTCTAGACCAAAAAAACACTGCTAACATTCTCATTTTGTTTAGTTTTTTTCTTCTTACAGTAATTTATTATTGTGTACATCCCAAATAAATAAAAACATCCTGTTTTCACAACCACGGTTTTTTGTTTGTTTGGGATTTCTTGATTAAGAAAGAATATGCATTTCAAACTCTAGACAATTTCTAGGGTTATTTAGCAAAAAAAAAAAAGACACTTTTTAGGGTTTTCCTGGAGATTTTATGGCATATTAATTGTTGGAGGTTGGGAGTAAGGGTTGTGCTGAAAGCTACTTTTTTTAATCATCTATCTTTATTATAATATTGAAATGCAGAGGTGAGTGACAAAGTGCATTACAAATCTACTTAAGTAATTATATATAGTGTGTTAAACTAACATACATTTACTTAAGCTAATTAATATATTTTCTTACAACTCCAATAATTTATTATTGTGTGTATTTCAAACAAAATAATTTAAAATATCCTTTTTATAAAAGCATCCAGCTCTTACAAACTCAGAATTGTGTTTGGTAACTTTGGCTTAAGACAGAATATAGAATTCAAATTCTAGACAATTTTTATGGGTTCTCTCGATTTTATGGATTACCCGCCACATGAGTTGTTGGAGGAGGGGAGAAAGGTTGTATTGAGAGCTACTTACGTACCTACATATGAAACACAATATTAATTATATACTGTGTTGAGAATAAAGTTCAATTTTTTTTTTTAGATTCATCAAATTTTATGAGAAATTAAGCACTAATTAATATGAGAGAAAAAAACTTAATACTCTTTGACCCACGGATCTATTTCAGATCTTGTGATCCAAAAAAACTATGTTACATATTCACCTATTGCATTTTTAACACTCATGTTCTCTTTGAAACTATTTTTTTAAAACTAACAAAGTACATTGTTTTAACGCCGAACACAATGATTAATTAATCGGGTTATTTGCCTTATAACCATAAAAAAAAAAGAAACTAGATTTTAAGAGATAGTAGAGAGAGATTGGAAGAGAGAGAAGAGGATTTTGGCTACTTAACTAATTTAGATTTTTTTTGTAGCTATATAGTTCAATTTCTCTTAATTAATTGTATAAACTATACCATGCAGGACCATAAATCAAACCACTCAATTGATCGTTTAGGATATCCAGTATTAAAGAATATATTTTTATTTAGGTTTGTCATATAAATGGTTTTGTTAGTATTTATATGTAAATACAATTTATAATTCTCTTAACATTAATAATATTTGTGAAGAATTTTTATTTTTACTTATAGAACTTTTACTAGTAAATATATTGAATAATTGTATTATCAAATAATAAATATTTTAAAAAGTATATCTTTGTGTGAAAATTATTTTATTAAAATTATGATTGATTATAGTGAAATGATTATGATAACTCGGACTAGTAATTCTATCGAGTTAACTAGATAAAATTATATTTATCAATCATTAATGAAATTGAATTAGTTTCTAAGGTTTTAATGTGATCTATATTATAAATATATACATATATACTATGAAATAAGATAAAATATAAATGACAATTTGTTAATTAATATTACATAAACCGTTTTTTTTGTTTCCAACTTACCCGTTTTAGATGAGTTTGGTTGTGACTTTAATTTAATTTTTTTTTTTTTTTGTATTTATCTATTTTTCAACGTCTGTCTCTATTTCAAAATTAAAAAAAAAATTATTTTATTTTTCTGTATCTCTCTATTTTTCAACGTGTTAGGTAAATCATTCATTGTAAAGTTACAAAAAAATAACAAAAATAATTCACTGTAGAGGATAGTCGTGAATCACGATGGATATGCTGCAGGATCTTATATACTAAATCAGGTTGTTCACATTTTGTTTGGACAGCTTTATTCAAGATGTTGGTCCAAAAAAAGGTGTCGGTACCAAACAGAATAAAATAATAGAATTTAAAAGGAAAATTGTTTACCACATTCTCAATTTGGGGTGGCCCCTGTAACCAAAACGAAATTGTTTGTCTTTTTATAACAAAAAAATACATTAAGGGCATCGTTAAATTCCAAAAACAGAGATGAAGGTTAAAGCCAAAAGCCTGTGATGACGTGGGGGAAACGATAGAGAGATGAAAGGAGGGTTTAGTGGAAGATGCAGCGATTGATATCACTTATTTAATGCTTTTGATCACGTTTTTATTTTTGTATAATGTCTTTATTGCTAGACTCCCCCCACTACGAGTGGTGTATGGCCATAGACCTTCTATCCTTTTAAAATCTGTCGTTCAGACAAAAAATGTTAATTGTTCTAGACCAAAAAAACTGCTAACATTCTCATTTTGTTTAGTTTTTTTTCTTCTTACAGTAATTTATTATTGTGTACATCCCAAATAAAAAAAAACATCCTGTTTTCACAACCACGGTTTTTTGTTTGTTTGGGATTTTTTTGATTAAGAAAGAATATGCATTTCAAACTCTAGACAATTTCTAGGGTTATTTAGCAAAAAAAAAAAAAGACACTTTTTAGGGTTTTCCTGGAGATTTTATGGCATATTAATCGTTGGAGGTTGGGAGTAAGGGTTGTGCTGAAAGCTACTTTTTTTAATCATCTATCTTTATTATAATATTGAAATGCAGAGGTGAGTGACAAAGTGCATTACAAATCTACTTAAGTAATTATAGTGTGTTGAAATAACATACATTACTTAAGCTAATTAATATATTTTCTTACAACTCCAATAATTTAGTATTGTGTGTATTTCAAATAAAATAATTAAAAATATCCTTTTTATAAAAGCATCCAGCTCTTACAAACTCAGAATTGTGTTTGGTAACTTTGGCTTAAGATAGAATATAGATTTCAAATTCTAGACATTTTTTATGGGTTCTCATGATTTTATGGATTACCCGCCACACGAGTTGTTGGAGGAGCGGAGAAAGGTTGTATTGAGAGATACTTACGTACATACCTACATATGAAATCACAATATTACTTATATACTGTGTTGAGAATAAAGTTCAAGTTTTTTTTTTGTTTTAGTTTCAAAAAAATTTATGAGAAATTAAGCACAGATTAATACGAGAGAAAAAACTTATACTCTTTGACCCACGGATCTATTTCAGATCTTGTGATCCAAATAAACTATGTTTTATATATATTCATCTATTTCATTTTTTAAAACACTCATGTTCTCTTTGAAACTATTTTAAAAAAAACTAACAAAGTACAGTGTTTTAACGCCGAACATTGTGATTAATCAATTGTATAAACTATCAGGATTCAGGACTGGCCCATAAATCAAACCACTTAAGTGATTGTTTAGGATATCCAATTTTAAAGAATATATTTTTATTTAGTTTTGTCATATAAATGGTCTTGTTAGTATTTATATGTAAATATTATTTATAATTCTCTTAACATTAATATTATTTGTGAAGAATTTTTATTTTTACTTATAGAACTTTTACTAATAAATATATTGAATAATTGTTTATCAAATAATAAATATTTTTAAAAATATATTTTTGTGTTAAAAATCATTTTATTAAAATATGATTGATTATAGTGAAATGATTATGTAACACAGACTAATAATTCTTTCGAGTTAATTAGTAAAAATTATATTTATCAATCATTAATGAGTTGAATTAGTTTCTAAGGTTTTAATGTGATCTCTATTATAAATATATACATATATATAAAAAATAAATATAAGTGACAAATTGTTACTATTACATAAACCGGTTTTTGGTTTCCAAGTTACCCGTTTTAGATGACTTTGGTTGTGACTTTAATTTAATTTAGTTTTATTTTATGTTTTTGTATATATCTATTTTACAAAGTGTGTCTCTATTTCAAAATAAAAAAAAATCTTTTCATTTTTCTGTATCTCTCTATTTATCAACGTGTTTCTCTATTTCAGGAAAATATATATATATATTTGGACCTGCACTACTGCTAGTAAGATCTCTACCCCACCTCTCTATTTTTTTATAAATTGTATTATAAATTTAAATTATGCTCGAATGTATAATTTTAGAGTAGAGTTCCACTTCTTTCAGAAGAAAATCAAGATAATAAATTGTTTATTTCTAAAGATATAGATATTCTAATATATTTTTTTACTAGAAATAGAAAAACACTGTTATATTCATATAGAGTTATAGATCGCAAAACACTGTTATATCCATCTGCTAAAGATATAGATATTCTAATATATTTTTTTACTAGAAATAGAAAAACACTGTTATATTCAAATAGAAAAACACTGTTATATTCATATAGAGTTTTGCGATTTATTATAGATCTATAAAGAGAAAAAAGTTGGTTGGAGATGCTTTCACATAATATTTACACCGATTTTTTTTTTAGAATCCACCATCTAGACCACAGTCACTGTGATTATTTATTCCTCCGGCCATGTTGGCTATTTAAAAAACGTGGCTTGTATATTATACTATATAAACCCCCTGAAGCAGACCAATGAACCATGCATCTTACAAAGTCTCGATAATAACATACACACTCCTAGTCTTACAACAGTTGCCAAACACTATTCGAGATGTAAGCACCTCCACTAATCTTGACCTTTTCTATAGAAAATAAAAAGATTATAAGTGATGTATCATATTTCAAATATAGTTTAATATGCTATATCATATACGTAATATTTTCGTTAAAAACAGTTTTAACATATGTGTGACAGGGAATACGGCAACGGTAATGACATTGTCAACGGTAACGGCATCGGCAACGGGAACGGACTTGGCAACGGCATTGGCAAATGTAATGGCAACGGGAACGGACTTGACAACATCATCGCAAATGGCCATGGCATCGGCAATGGTAACGGACTTGGCAGCATCGTCGGCATAGGGCATGGCATCGGCAATGGTAACGGACTTGGCAACAGCCATGGCATTGCTAATGGGCATAGCAATGGCAACGGCTACGTTAATGGTAGTGGAAAAGTTAACGGAGCGACAGTGGGAAAAATGAGACCAATGGATAGTAAGGTGCTGAGAGAGCAAGGGCACTTAATGGTTGATTTTATTGCTGATTATTACAAAAACCTTGAAGACTCTCCTCAGGATTTTCCTGTTCTTTCTAAAGTTCAGGTTTGTTCTATTCTCTCTCTTTTTGAAGACTCACCTCAGGATTTCCCTGTTCTTTCACTTACATGTATATAAATGTAAACTCTCTTTATTTGTTTATGGTCATTTATGTAATTATATAATCATCTTTCTATATACAAAAGTACAAAAGCTATAAAAGTACTTTAGAGGTTAGAGTCATATTTTTTTCTCAATTTTACTATATATTCTTTTTTTTTTTGAAAAGGGCTTTTATACTATATATTGTTATTCCAAATGTATTTTTAAGAAATAATTAATATTTTGTGGGCGATTTGACGCAGCCTGGCTATCTCCGGGACATGTTGCCTGATTCAGCACCCGAGCACCCTGAACCGTTGAATGAACTTCTCGACGGTACGTAATAAAGTTTTTGTTTAACGCAGCATGCACATACACGTGCATATCTTTATTTTAATTACTCGGTTTTTAATTCTCATATTTTATCATAATTTATATATAGACGTTTCGAAGAAGATAATTCCGGGGATAACTCATTGGCAAAGCCCTAGTTACTTTGCGTACTATGCGGCAAGCACGAGTGTGGCCGGATTCTTGGGAGAGATGCTAAACGCGGGCCTGAGCGTCGTGGGTTTCACCTGGCTCACTTCTCCGGCAGCCACTGAGCTCGAAGTCATTGTTCTCGACTGGCTTGCCAAATTGCTCCAACTCCCCGACCATTTTCTCTCCACAGGTTCTTGATCATTTTTGCCTAATTAGAGCACCCACATTGATGGAGTGTCTCAAATGGATTAGTCCATATGATTTGCATAAATTGAATACTAACTGGTGAAGTGTAGCTGACGGCATAATTAGTTATAAATTTATAGTTACTAATAAATTTAGAGAGTAAATAAATTGTGACCATGCTTATATATGAAAAGTAACAGAGCATGCAACTGCGGTGCTATACTAAAAATACTATACTCAATGCTATAATAAAAATGAATAGATCACACATTTGTGGCAGTATACGTGAATAGTAACAAAGGGTTATAACAAGAAAACAAGCATATGATTGAATGATTTGACGAAATTGAAGGAAATGGAGGAGGAGTGGTCCAAGGGACAGGATGTGAAGCAGTACTCGTGGTCGTATTAGCTGCTAGACACAAGATGTTAAAAACAAATGGCAAAGCATCACTTTCTCGACTTGTTGTCTATGCCACCGACCAAACTCATTCGAGTTTTGGAAAGGCTTGTTTGGTTCGTATTATATATATAAAACAATCAGTTAACTGGCTAATTAATTATGCTAATCATATATATATATATATATGTGGTGATTTTTATATAGATTGCTGGAATACATGAAGAAAACATTAGGTTGCTCAAAACAGACTCTTCCACGAATTATGCAATGCCTCCAAAATCACTTGAAGAAGCTATTTCTAGTGATCTCGCTAAAGGGTTTATCCCTTTCTTCATTTGTGCTACGGTAATAATTCTATGAAAATAAATATATGTTTTGTTCACTATCAACCAATAATGAGAATTGTAGATTATAATGTACCTCTTTATTTATAAATATCGGGCCCATTGCTAAAAGTATAAACGTGGGATTTTCAGGTTGGCACCACGTCTTCGGCTGCAGTCGATCCGTTGGTCCCATTAGGAGAAATTGCAAAGGTGATAAAATATAATAATATATACATATATATAGTGCTAAATGATTTAAGTGACTATCAAATATTTGTTTGTAAATAAAATAGTACCAACAGTAATTGGCTAATATATATGGACTACAAAAACAATGTCCTTAACCTAGCTCTGCCACCGATATTGATGTTGTGTAGAGCTACGGGATATGGATGCACGTGGATGCAGCTTATGCAGGGAATTCATGTATCTGCCCAGAATTTCGCAAACATATTGATGGAATTGAAAACGCAGACTCCTTTAATATCAATGCTCATAAATGGTTATTTGCTAATCAAACTTGTTCACCACTTTGGGTAAAGGTAGGTTTTTTTTATCAATTTTCTTTAATTTATAGTATTACTAGTTAATACTTTCATTTGTTTGAGTTTATTGTACGATTTGGTCAATCTATATCCAACAAAAAAAATTTCCATATAGGATCGGTACTCTCTCATTGATGCACTCAAAACAGATCCTGAGTATCTTGAATACAAGGTAAAGGTTCCTCGTGTTCTTTATTTTGCTAAGAACTAGTAAAAACCACCATTCTGTAATGACATTAATCGAATAATGTGTTGTCATTCAAGTAGCTAGATGTATATGAAATAAACTCAAAACAGTACTAAGAAATTTGATCAATAGAATTATCAGCATATCATTTGTGATATTATTAAAATGATTAGCAATATACTTAAGTTTTCACAAGTTTATCATTTGTGATATTATTAAAATGTTGTGTGAGAGTATATAATATATGATTTAATGGATATCAGGTTTCTAAGCGAGAAGAGGTCATAAACTTTAAAGATTGGCAGATTTCTCTTTCTCGGAGATTCAGGTTCGTCATACTTACAGTTGAGGTTATAACTTATAAGCGTATGTGGTACTTACAAACTTGATTAATACAGATCACTGAAGTTGTGGATGGTCTTAAGGCTCTATGGTGCCGAGAACTTGAGAAACTTTATAAGAGACCATGTCAATCTAGCAAAGCATTTCGAAGATTATGTAATTCAAGATCCACATTTCGAGGTAAAAAAAATACATATGAAACATATTTTTCCCTTGGGATCAACCAAATAAAACTATTGATAAATTATTATTTTATAAATTTGAAAGGTTGTCACCATCCGGTATTTTTCACTCGTATGCTTTCGCCTTGCTCCGGTTGATGGTGATGAAGAGAAGTGTAACAAACAAAACCGTGAACTGCTTGCGGCCGTTAACTCCACCGGCAAGATCTTCATCTCTCACACGGTGAGTTATATCTATATAATTAATAAAATATCATATTGTGTTCTGGAAAAATGATTAGTTTAATAACTAAAAAATGAAACGTGTCAAAATTATGTCAACAGGCTCTGTCGGGAAAGTTCATTTTACGATTTGCTGTTGGTGCACCGTTAACAGAAGAGAAGCATGTGAATGAAGCATGGAAGATTATACAGAATCATGCCTCCAAAATTATCCACAACGGAAATTATTGAGAATATTTCATTCATTTCCGCACAATAAAATAAAACTCAAGTTTCAAAATAAAATAAAATAAATACAACTCTTCTCTATCTTACAAGATTCGATGAAGGGATTAAATGATTGCTTTTGTTTATGATATTGTCTGTATGAGCGTGACAAAACTTCACGAAATAAAAGGCTATTTGTATTTGTATTTTTTTGGTAAGGCTATTTGTATTGTAATTTTCCAAAAATAAAAATTAATAAAAGTTATGTACTATAATTATTTGAGGCCTTTAATATATCGCGAGCACTTGTAACTAAAAACGCTCAAAGATTACTAATTTTTTGAGCTTTAAAATTACCAATTTTACACATTACAAAAGTGGGAGTTCTTGATTTTGCCTTCATCCAAAATCAAAATTTATTAATCATGAATAAATGAATAAAGTATTAAAGAGAGTTTGAATCTGGAACATTCTTCCGCACGGATAGAAACCTGATATATCCATTAAATCATATATTATATACCCTCACACAACATATATGTTTCCATTCTATAAACAAGTGAAAACTTAAGTATCTTGCTAATCATTTTAATTTATACATTAAACATTCTTCCGCACGGATAAACATTCTTCCCGTGTACCTGCTGTGTTCTCGTCTTTACCATTAAGTGAACGAATGGGCTTCTATCCTCTAAGGCTTGTTCATGGGTAGGCCTTATTCTTATTTAAGTGGGTCAAGGGTTCTTAATAGGTCTCTAAAGTGTTTTACTATTAAAGTTGATCACTTTTGCCACAGTATTTTGGTATATCAATAAAATATTTTCAATTTAATGGACGAACGTTCAAAATAAAATATGTACTTTTCATTTATATTATTATTTATATCTTTTTCCTAGCCCAGCCCAACATAAAACAAAAAGGAAATAGTTGAGAAAGAATAGAGTTGAACCAAGTTGTTGTTAAAAAAGAAGAAGAGTTGAACCAAGTTGTATGGTAAAACCGTACGTGACTGGTACATTTTATTAGACTATTTTGTATTTGCTTATAAAATTTGACATACAAAGCCATCAGGGTGATTTATGTCGAAGGAAAATATGAACGCTTGAATTCAAATTTCTAGAAAAACGCAACTACTATCATGCTAACATATTTCAAAAAGACCGAAAAATCATCAATAGGTTTAATTTCAACAAATGTGTTTATAGTGCAAATCAATTTCCAGAAGTGTTAAAGTAAATTATTCACTGTAACAAAATTGGGTGAGGATGACGACCGACAAGTTGCCGTATCTTAAATTATTAAAATCATGTTGTCCCAAGTTTCTTTGGACAGCTCCATCACTCTCAATGTGAAGATGTTGATCCCAAACAATATAATAAAGTTAACATGTAGTGGTACTGGTCTATGTTCACTTTCTACGTACTAGCAGTTTAGCACATTCTCATTTTAAGGTGGCTCCAACTACCAAAAGATGTTTGTCTTCTTATAACTATTAAAAACAGGCCATTCGAGTTCACGTGGTTCAATTTCAAAGATAGAGCAGTCTGGGTTATCATTTTCAGGAAGAAAAAACATCACATACGAAACCTATTAAGTACTGATTGGTTTGTCACATACTAAGAAAATTCGAATATTGCTGCCTAATATTTTTTCTCTAAAATATGTTCCAGAGTTGTATACTTGTATAGTTTCACTTGATACTAATTTTTCTAAAGTAAAAGGGCCATCCTTAGCAAGAGTTGCAAAATCTGTTGAATAGGAACAACCGATGTAGTGTGGGAGTAGCCTCAGCGATAATTACAGCTTTTTATATATAGCTATAATAATAATAATAGATTCAGCTTCAGGCATCGCTAAACTTTGTGTTGAAAGGTTGCGATGATAAAAATAGTGTCATATTACCGTAACCTTTTAAAATGTCAAATATGTAAACAGTTTTCACTTGTGGATTATAGGAAGTATTTTCCTAGATATTTAGGAATCTTTATGACCCAAATGTCTACATTTATCGTATTTAGCCAAGAGTAAATCACATCGACCATTAAGATTGTGTTACTTTTTTTTTTTTTTTGTGGTGATGGTCACAACAGTTTTTTCGTGTGGTGATGGTCACCTTCTCCCATTCCCCTTGGATCCAAGCAGGGCCGTACCTGACTTTTCGAGGCCAAAAAGAAAAAAAATTGGCCCTTCAATATAATATTTTTATATATTGGTAGTAAGTATGTATTGACCCTGTTACCAAATTGATCAAAGAAGCACCACACAACCATCTGAACCAACTAATCTTTTGACGAATTGACCCCTAAAATATATTTAACACTGTTGGCCCCGAAACACATGTTTGATGGGTTTGTATTCAGGCACGGCCCTGGATCCAAGTCAACGCTGTTTGGTAAGGAGTATAGCTCACTTGAGACATGGAGGGTAACATGAATGATTGATATCACGTATTAATTGCTCTGATCATGTCAATTTTTTTCTGATCATGTCAATTTTAGTGTACTAATAATCATTCTTAACATTTCGACCCAAAAAAGTTTTGGTATAAAATGGAAAACGCAGATCATAAATGCAGATCAAACCAATAATGTACATCAACATATTATATAAAAAATTATTTTTAAAACCAGACATGATGATTCATCATGGTTATTGAGTCAATTGTCACATCGATTAATCTAGTTCAATCAAGATTTTTCTTTTATTTTTAATTATTTAAAATAGAAATTTAATTATATAATTAATTTATATAACTTTTATCAATATTATAATCATAAAATATAATTATGTAATTGTCTTAAACTAATGGGAATTTTTTATTCCAAATTGTTGAAATTTTAGTTTGTAGTTATAGTTTAGACCTGGACATGTTACCCAAATCCGAAGATCCGAAGCGAAATAGACCCGAAAAATTTCGGTTAGGATAATTTATCCAAATAGCTTATTTAATCAAAAGTTAAAAATAAAATTTATTAAGTTAAATATTTAAAATAAACTATAAATACTTATATATAAGCAATAATTATTATTATTTTAACAATACCAAGAAAATTTGAACATTCAAACAAATACAATTACAACGTACAATAAAATTGAAAAACATTAACATTGAACATTTTTGTTTGCCATAATGTATTTGCAATAATTTATAATGTTTGCCATAAAATTTGCTTGACCCATTTATGCTTCTTCCATATCATTTTGTTCAGTCATAGAGGTAGCGTTGACAACCTCTATAGGTATCACTGTATCGCAAAATCTTCATCATAAAAATTTAAAATTCTAATAAAATTATGTAACCCATTGTCGCTGTTACAACTCTTTTCTGAACATGCATATCATATCTTGGGAAGTCACAAAGAATCCTCCATTTTTTCTTCCAAACTCCAAACGTCCTCTCGTTAACAGATCGCAAAGATGCATGATATCGATTAAATAACTCTTGTTTGTTTTTCGGAGGAGGACCACTTTCAAACTGTGACATATGATACCTAACAACCCCATTTCGTGAAGACCTATAGGGAGCCAAAAAACCTTGTTTGTTTGGATATCTAGAGTCAACGAGATAGTACTTATCCGCTGGAGGTAAAGGAAAATCAGAATCATTGTGAGAACTGCAGTATCGTGACAAGAACCCGGTGTTTCATTCCAAACATAGGTGAATAACAGTATGATACAACTCAAGAAAATTTCGTTCTCGTCTATGATCTCATTTCAAATAGTTTTCATTCTAAAAATTTCTAAAAAAATTAATTTATCATTCACTTATTTCTAACAAAAGTAACTATATAAATATATTAGTAAATATTTTACTCGTGCTGATGTTTCTGAATGACGTGCATTGAAGTTTACGTTTTGTTCACGGTTAAACGCTATATCTACAAATTTGAAAATAATATTAGCTTTATAACATACACGTTATTTATTTTAAAATATTATGTAATTTATATGAATAATTAGATACTTAATTCTAAAGAGTTCGAAGAGACATAATATAAAAAAAAATATCCGACAAATAAAAATACATTTGAAGTAAATAAAAGATAAAAACTGATTTTGTGGTATAATATATTGTTACAAAATAATTTAGTTTTAACATAAAATTATCCATAAAAAATTTCAACTTATGTGTACATATTAAAAGCTTATATAATTCTCTAAAAAAACTAATTATGAACCATAATATGTTTTATTATTTTAATAAATATAGATATAAAAGACAAACTGAAAACAATTAAAAACTAATTAAAAATTAATATTAAAATACATGCATGTGTTATACTACTTATAAGAACGAAAAATATTATGTATACTATTTTAAATTATTAATTTAATTATAAAACATTATATATATATATATATATATGAAAATAATACATGGAATATCACAAAAAATGCATAAATTCATTAAAGTAATATACATTATTGACATATTAATTAAATAGATGATTAAATATAAAAATATTCGACAAGGAAAAACACATTTGAATTTATTAAATATAAAATGATGTTTATGGTATAATAAATTTTTACAAATTAAGTAAGTTTTTAACATAATAGTATTCAGTAAAAATTTAAACTTTTGTCTACAGATTAAAAATTTTGAATTCTCTAGAGAAATTAATTATGTACCATAATTTGTTGTATTATTTTTAATAAATATAGATATAAGATACGAGCTGAAAAAAATGAATTAAACAAAAGATATAAAATACGTGCATGTGCATGTACTATAGAACTTATAAGAATGATTAAATCATTATATTTACTATTTCACTGTTTAAAATTATTAATCAGTTATAAAACATTATTTAATGTATAATTTTATGCAAATAATACATGGAATATCAATAACATGCATAAATCTTTAAACTAGTATATATTATACATTTAATTTTTAATTAGATGATTAAAATACAAAAATATGTTATAATATATATATATATATATATATAATAAGTTGATTTTTAGTATTATGGAATGTAAGTTTGAACTTATTTTAAGAAATCAAAATTTTCATATTT